CCATGTAGATCTCAAAGTATGAAACCTTGATGTGGAATTCCAAATGCTCTTCCATGGAGTATATGTGATTGAAGATGTCATTGACAATTCGGGGGATGATGCCTTGCATGCTGAGGTCTCCAAGGACACCCTCCATCGTGTGTGTTTTTCCACTAGATGTTTGTCCGTATGCAAAAATGGTCCCATTGTAACCCATAAGAACATCTGAAACAGCCATGGATGGGGCATAATGGGAATAAGTTAATCCATTAATGTCAATTATGAATTGAATTGTGACAGATTCAAATGTGATTGGGTTGTTTGATTAGCATACAGCTAAATCTAAATAAAAGTAATCTCCAAATAATTCTATAGAAGAAAAGTGAATTTCAAAAGATTATCTGAGATGAGTTTCTAAATTTTCAATAAGGAATATTAGATTTTGATACTATTTTCCAAAGTTTCCAAAGGGAGTATTAAATGTAAAGAATGCCATCATATACAGTACAATCTCTGCTCCACCCAATACACCATTCTGGTGGCTCTCCCCAGCAGCATACTAGTAATTGCCAATCTTCACCAATACTTATTAACTCCAGGGGCAAAAAACATTGAAATTTCTCTGCTCAAGGCATCACAATGGCTCTGCCTGAGATGAATCAAATGCCGACGATCCTTTCTTGGGCAAAAGCATACCCACGAGATAGTGAGAGTTTCATAGAGAGGCCTCTCTTCTACCATTTTAGTGAATTACCTACCATGTTATCTTTTCAGTGCCTTTAGAAGTTTCGCTCATGGAAGCTTAGAAGTTAAGCGAATTTCACTCACCTCAACTGGATAAATGGCATGAAGACTGAACAAGAAAGTGTCTTAATCTATTAAAGCCAAGTAAAAAGTTCAATCTACAGTAAATTCTTGCAGGGATTGGTGCTTCCTGATATGCCTTTTCCTAAACCTCGTTTTCTTTGATTTGGGTTCATTACATTTCGGGCGTCGAAAACTATCAGCCAGAACTAGTCTCGCTTCGACTAGCCTTCCGTGAAGGCAAGAGAATGACATTTCTTAAATATCGTAAAACCCAGATTGCAAAGCTGCCGAAAATCCTGGGAGCAACGTTTCATTAGCCTACGTCTTTTCGGGTCTGTGCAAAAATACTATGTACGTCTAGTCCAATCATCCATCTGTTCGTGGAGAGCATTCCTAGAAACCTTTGAACTCTTCGAATGTCTTATATGCTGCCGAAATGCATCCGCAGCGGATGCTGTCGCGATGAGTCAGCCTCCCAGTCTCGCTGACTGTGTTGGGGGGGGGGGGGGGGGGGGACGATAACGCCATGCATGATGTAGCTTAAGGGAGTCGTCTGAGTTATAGCTGCTCCCATCACACACCTTTACGTTGTTGAGAAAAGTTTCCACCTCCCGAAATTGAGATGGGCTAGATAGTATTCATGCAAAGGCCAGGTACAGCTGATACTGGACTGCAGCTTTCAAATCCTAGAATGCTTTCGTTTTTGTTTTGTTTAATTTTTTTTCTCACCGGATCTGTTGCTTCTCCCAGCTCAAAAAACACAGATAAGAGGGATGGAGCGAAATGAATCTGAGTTAGAACCAGTTCTGCACTGAAAACCCCGACTGAAAGCATTCAGCTTACGTGCAAGGGACGAAAGCAAAAAAAAAAATTCTGGCAGGAAAGGAATAATGGTTTTGTTATCGTCCGCAAGTACCGGCATTACCTCCCACATCATTCCACTTACATTCATAAAGTCACCCAGCAACTTTCTATTTGAAAGCGCTTGTTTCATTACGATTATAAGATATAGGAGAGAAAGAAAATGCGGAGATAGGCCCGGGATGCAAGGAAATCCCTCATTATGCTCCTGCGAAACTACCTCGTAATTACATTGTAACTCCTCTAATATATCTCTTAGTTTCGGACTCTTTTCCCCATGATTGAGGATGGTGAGAAATAGGTGTGGGTCCGTAACACGTACCCCTTTTTTCAATTTTTTAAGGCCAAAACCTTACCCCAGTACGTGGCCGTGCCCCCACGAATTAGACCTTTCTTCCGCCATCAGCCGATAAGCCCGCATGACCGATAATACAAAACAGCAGTGGCGTATTTTGGCTGATGGGTCAGTGGGGCAAGGCAGCAGTACAGGGGCGGCAAAGCCCCCCCCGAGTGATATCAGGTGAGAAAATTATTTCTTCCAAGGGGGCGCCAGGCTCTGTCCTATGGGCGCCAGGTGGGGCGACTGCCCCCCCTGCCTCCCTGTAAAATACGCCATTGATCAGGATATAAAAGCATAGCAAAAAAAACAACCAAAGGGGTGATGTAACCCACACAATCCAACAGGCCACGTTCATAGCATACTTTCTGGAGTGGAACAGGCGATGGAATCCCGCGGCTTACAAGGCACACGATCACGCGCCCCCGAAACCACTGTCAGATATGAATGTTCCATTCCCTGCATGACAACAAGAACTGCCAAAAACATGTCTTCGTTTGGCTTCTGGAAATCGGCCAAACCATTTGATGAACCGCCAAAGGAAAGTGCGAAACCGACGCAGAATGGGACTGTCTTGAGTCGTCACGGAAAGGTGTGTGATTTTCTGAGTTCATTTTCTCTTTCGTTCTCCGTAATGCCAGCGAGCAGCGATCGGCAATTGACCGCAACATTTGGCGAACCGCGCATGTAAAAGCCCCATCAGGGCTGAATAGCGTGTCTCTCACTCCCGAACCGAAGCCCTTCTTTGGAATGTGTGCCGAAAACCTCCACACGACCCCCAACACGGAAGACGGTGAATCGCATCCACGTCGTTCAGTCGCCCAATGACCCGTACGAGCGCGGGGCGGCCCATACGCAGCGCCAGCCGATCAGCCTATGGCCGAGCAAGGAGGCGTGGTACAAATGCAAACCACGTTCGTGTCTCACCGGCGTGATTCATGAGTTGTTGCGATGCAGTCATTTTTCAGCTGAAGGTGCTTTACATGCACTGCTGACTTCGCTTTCTCTAATTTTTCTCTCCTTGTTTTCATCCTTCTGGTTCCTCTTTTTTTTTAAATGAGGTTTTCTCAAACGTTTTGACAATTTCCAGGCAGCAAATAACATCGAAGCCGCTTGGCGGTTTTGCAGAGAAAGGATGAAAATAAGAGCACTGAAACTTCCATGGCTCTTCATGCAGCCACTCGTGAAATACTCCCATTCCATGTAGCGATCTACAGCATGGCTCCTTCATCTTTCCAGGGGTAGCATGTAACACTGAATGATTTAATGGTGTTGTTATTCCTGTATCTGTGCCAAATTACAGATTTGCATCTAATATCAATACTTTTTTTTAAATATGCGGTTAAAATGAGAGTTGGTTGAATTAACCTACATTATATAAACGTGCATTAAGCAAGGCTAATTTTTCACAAGGCTTGGACGCATTGATCGAGGCCAACCCGCGTAAATCCACTTATGAATTGGCCGAAGAACTTGGCAATTCTCAACCAACAGTATTTCGCCATCTTCGTGCTCTTGGAAAAGTCAACAAGTTGGGAACAAGGGTTTCACGTGGGTTGGCCTCGATCAACGCTTCCAACACTTCGATATCGTACTCCGAAGGGCGACCAGGATATGGTTCATCCTTGAGCAATACATCTGACCAAAAATTTGTGAACCAATTCTGGCAATGGCAATCGGTGAGTGTCCTCTCCAAAGAAGGCGCATGTCTTCCTCGCTGTCTCCGTTGCATTTGAGTCCAACTGGAACTCCCACGAAATGCAGTGCCGAATATGGAAATTTTCATCCATTTTACAATCCATGTCATCCATTTTACCTTTATTATTTCAACATGAAATTGGAATGGCAATAAATTGAATGTTATCAAATAGTCTACAGTTTTCTCTATCGAATAACATATAGAACGATTTTTCACTTCAAACTTGAATCACCAATTCTGGCAATGGCAATCGGTGAGTGTCCTCTCCAAAGAAGGCGCATGTCTTCCTCGCTGTCTCCGTTGCATTTGAGTCCAACTGGAACTCCCACGAAATGCAGTGCCGAATATGGAAATTTTCGTCATCCATTTTACCTTTATTATTTCAACATGAAATTGGAATGGCAATAAATTGAATGTTATCAAATAGTCTACAGTTTTCTCTATCGAATAACATATAGAACGATTTTTCACTTCAAACTTGAATCTAGTTACAATTCATTTCAAAACATTTGGCAACAAACGGAAATTATTTCTTAATTAACCTGATACATACCAATACATATTTATACATACTTGTCAGTAAACGAATGAAGCTATGTAGATATCATTTCAGTGTCTTAGAAAAAGCAGAAAACATTAACACTTAAAAGCATATGGCTTTCAAGTAATGACAGCTGAGAAATTCCCATTCAGTTTATGCACCAGTTTCACACAAACATATCCAACAACTTGCAAATATTTTTTTTGTGTACCTCTGAACCCATTGGAAAAACATTTTTCACTTCCCTACAGCAAAAGCACATGATCTATAGCTGAAAATTAACTTAGCCACCAAGTTGATATGTAAATTGCTAACCACCTATGGTAAAGAGGATGTTGCATGTGCGAGGTACAGCAAACCAACCCGAGGGATTAAAGTGAGATGGATGAGGAAAAGAAAAAAATAAAAAGCACCTGTTCACATTCCTCTTGTACTGCCAGAGGCAAAGATTATAGTTATATATGTAAGCATCCAAAAGAGCTGGCTGCAAGATATGTTATCACAAGGATGTTTTCACAAGGAGAACATGATAAACACTGCTCACGAGCATTGACCAACTCACCTTTAACGATGGTCCGAGCTGCTACATTGTAGACTTGCTCTTGAGTTGCATTGGGTTTCACCACCTTGTCATACACATATACTTTCCCCTAGAATAAAATTTTTTTACAAGGATCAATCAATCTGTCCTTTCCCAGTCACACATGATCTTTTCAAAACGCATAATACAAAATGATATAGGACTTTCATGGGAGACTGTAGGGCACCTAATTTCTCACATGAACAAAAATTTAACTCAACCACCCAATTTAAAGTCCCGACTGGAATTTTCCAGTTGGATTAAATCTGGTTTTGTTAGCTGGTTCCAGCTGGTTCTCGGACAGATTCCAGCTGGAAGGTAGAGCAAAAATCCGGCTGGATCCAGGTTGGTTCCCAACTGGAATTTTCCAGCTGGATTGAAGCTGGTTGTGCTAGTCGTTTCCAGCTGGTCCCTAGACGGTTCCCAATTGGATTGAAGCTGGTTTCGTCAGCTGTTTTCAGCTGGACTCCAACAGTAAATTCGGACCGATTCCAGCTGGGAGGTAGAGCAAAAATCCGGCTGGATCTAAGCTGGTTCCCAACTGGAATTTTCCAGATGGACTGGAGCTAGTTGTCTTTGTCGTTTCCGGCTGGATCCTAGATGGTTCCCAGCTGGATTGAAGCTGGTTGTGCTTGTCGTTTCCGGCTGGATCCCAACTGTATATTCAGA